TTGCCTCAGCGGGGGCCTTGCCTCAGCGGGTGCCTTGCCTCCGCGGGGGCCTTGCCTCCGCAGGGGCCTTGCCTCAGCGGGTGCCTTGCCTCAGCAGGTGCATCCAATCAGCCCGAGTCTGCAGAGTCCTGACAAATGGAGCTCAACTATGAAATGTAAGGTGGACCAATATGTATATGGGAGTTGTAGCAAAGAATCCTTCATCTTATGTCCTTTCACATGCTTGCTTTAGCAGAACATCCTCTCTCTTGTGTCTACTTCAGTGAAACGTTCTTTCACCAGTCTGCCTAAGTCTTTCACCTGTGTCCACTTCAGGAAAACACTCCTTCATGTGTTTGTCCCGGCAACCATCAACACAACTGACTCTCCAAAGACCAGTAAGTTTCCACTTCAGATTCCGCACCTTTATAGCCCCAACTTGGCCTCAGTATAGGAACCAGTCAGATGGGGGTGACTTTTTCCTAGGTATAGTGTGACCCAGACCTTTGTCCTGCTCCTCTGGCCTGGAAAGCCCTGCTCTGAAGACAGGTTTGGGGCTTTTGGTCAGCTGAGGAGGTGGAGGGGTGCCAGACTGAGGGTACAGAACTTAAAATGAGTGTCTCACCTGAGCAGGAGCTCTGAAGCCAGCAGGGGATCCTGGGCAAATCTCTCTTTTCTGACTGGACTGCTCTTTTCCACTGTACCTTCATCTCTAAAACCAAGAATGGTGCATTCTTGTGAATTTTCACTGCCTTGAAATGCAATATAATGTTTTTTTGAAACCTAAAAAATTCATCTTGCACTCAATGTAATGATTTGTAGAGAAACAGCCATCTTTGAGTAGAGGTGCGTGCCACTTGAAGGAAGAGGCAGACATATCAGAATTCTTTGAGGCCAGTCTGGTCTACAGAGAGTGAGTTCCAGGACAGCTATACAGAGAAACCCTCTCTCAAAAAGCCAGTGGTTAACCACTGGTCCATCTGCCCAGCCCGGCTTGGTTTTTGGCTTTTTGTACCCATAATAAATAATAATAATTTATGAAAAGAAGTATAAAAATGAGATATATTTAAATAATTGCTACTATTTAATGAGAAAGTGCTATTCAATTTTTTTACTATTATTTCATGTGCATGAGTGCTTTATTTTTATATATGTCTATTAACCACATATGTGCCTAGTGCCTTCAGAGACCAGAAGAAGGTGTCAGATTCCCAACAACTGGAGTTACAGATAGCTGTGAACTGCCAAGTGGGTACTGGGAGTTGAACCAGAGTCTTCTGGAAGAGCAACTAGGGCTCTTAGCCTCTGAGCCATCATCTCTCTAACTCCAAAAGTACTGTTTCTTAAATATATATATTGTGTGTGCATACATGTGAGCATGTGTACATACATGTGTACATATATGTGTGAATGTGTGCATATATGTGTGCATGTGTACCTGGAGGCCAGAGATTGATGTCATGTGTCTTTCTCAATCATTCTCCACCTTAATTTCAATTTTAAAAAGACATTATTTTAGTTTATGTGTGTTGTATTTACTTGTATGTATATCGGTATACCAGATGCATGCCTGGTGCCCACACAGACCAGAAGAGGGTATCATGTCCCCTGATGCAGAGATACAGATAGTTGTGAGCCACCATGTAGGTGTTCAGAATTGAACCCAGGACTTCTGGAAGAGCATGCAATACTCTTAAAGTCTGAGCCATCTCTTCAATCCCATTTTGATTTTTTTAAAAAAATTATGTGTGTATGTGTATATTGTATGTGTGTGTGCACTCATATGTGGGCCATAGTGCATTTGTATAGTCAAACGACAGCTCGGATGCCTGTCCTCTCCTTCTATCTGTTTGAGAAAGAGTCTTTTCCTGTTCATTGTATTTATGCCAGGCTAGCTGGCCCTCAAGTTTTTAAGGGTTCCCACCTTGTTCTAGAATTGTAGACATGCGTTACTGTCCCTGTCTTCACATACATTCAGGAATCCAAACACAGGTCCTCACACTTGCCATAGAACCTTCTTCCCAGGCTGATGTTTTCATTGTTTGTTTATTTTTATTTTGCTACAGGTCTGTTTATATAGCCCAGGATGGCCTCAAACTCTTGATCCTCCTGTCTCAGTGTCCAGCGCTGGGATTGTATTTGTGCGTTGCTTGGCTAAGCTTATTTAGTCCACTTTTCTCCTTCCTTCCTTCCTTCCTTCCTTCCTTCCTTCCTTCCTTCCTTCCTTCCTTCCTTTTCTTTCTTTCCTTCTTTTCTTTTTTTTCTTTTTGACAGGGTCTCATTATGTTGACCTGGTGACTCTGGAACTTGCTGGCCTCAAACTCACAGAGATACACTTGTCTCTACCTTTTAACTGCTAGAGTTAAAAATGTGTTTCACCATGCCCAGCTCAATCTTTTTTTGTGTTTATTTTTTGCTTGCTTGCTTATTTATGACAGGGTTTCACAACTTAGCTCAGACTAACCATTAGTCCCGATTGGCCTTGAACTCCTTGGATTGTAGAAAATAGGGATCTGACTGTACATTCCAAAAAGATGTACCCAGTAATCACAAGGATGTTAAGTCACATGCAGAGGGAGGAATAAATGACCATTTAGGGACTAAGATAGCCTAAGATATCTTGGGTTTCAGCCTGTATCATTTCAGCACCCCACAGTCTGAGGTTTTTATTAGTCAGTCAGACTTTTAGA